TGTTCCCAACAGCACACCCACATAGGATCTAACAAGCTGCAGACTTTGTAAAAAAAAAGTTAGTGCAGAGTTTTTCTCACCGTCAGCGTCAGCGCTCTAATCGCATCAGAAGCCAACCCTTCCCTCACGTGAGCTCAAGCTAACCCTCAAAATTCCACCACATGTCTACGTACTTTTGGAAAAGAAAGCATGCTAAGAGCATTCCCCACTCCGCGTTTCCATATGGCGTGTGTCTAACGCGCAACAGACAGTAGCAGGCGGAGTTCATTCAGTCTTGAAGGAGGATCCTACAGTAGGGCCGGATCTCGGATATGGGGAAAAATACCTAGTCGAAAGGCAGGCGGGCGTCCCTAGGGGCCTGGAACGATCTTAGCGAAGGATTGTTCGTGAGGGTTGATAGGGCCCTACCTGCGCCGCTCACTCCACTGCAATTCCCACCAAACCGTTGAACGATCCAGTCGTTAACTCTGGCTCTAACACGCTCTAGCCGAGAGGTTAGCGTTTCATTCGTTGAATTTGCAGGTCAGCACCAATAAGTCACACCCTGACGCGCAAACATCTAAGGCAGGGGCAGAAACAGTGGTTTCCGATTTAGGTTTTTGCTTTTCTTTCCATGTTTGCTTCATCCTTGCACCACTTGACCTGCACCACTGACCACCTCTAGCTTCACTTCTAAAATGAGCCGCCTTTTCATTGTAAGTTCCGCGTTTAGGCGGCTCTACAGCTCCTTTAATTTCCTTTCTGTCCCAATCTGTTTCTTTTTTTTCTTTTTTCTCTCATCATTGTTCATTACATTCCTCTCCATCACTCAGCATACACGCTACGCCAACATTCTTGTGACTCTTCAGAATTATTTTTTAAGGATGTCGATGATTTTGTACTTTTTTCAGCGAATTAGGTGACTATGGGTAAGTTGTAATGTCTATTCTGTTAGATTGGGTTTCATGATCACCTGTTTTTTTTCCTCTGATTTTCGTATTCACTTCCGGATAATAGGAGACGACGAGATAATCAGCTATATTTGTACCTTTAGCATGCTGCTAGCATGGATAAAAGTGCTTCCTTAGACGTGTTGCGGCTTCAGTTCCAAACCGTATATGTCTCAGCTATCGCTGAGAAACGATCGATAATTGATTGGTGTTTCAGGGAGAACCAGGGACTTCTTACATTTTCTCAAACGTATCAACTACGATCACCGTCAATGTCCGGAAACATGCAGACCGGCTGGAAGCTGACAACTCGTGGCGTCTCACACTTACATAAATATACTGTTGAGTAGAATAATTGCATCGTTCAGCCCGTTCAAAGTGAAGTCTCCGTTTTAACTCAGCAATCATTCGGGCTGTGTCTGGCAGGTCACAATGTGGTCCTGTGTCCAGGATTACTTCAAGATATGAACCAACCAACAAACACCATCCAGATAATAATTATTTATTAGTATCTTTGAGCATCGTTGCATCACCAACGACTCTGACTAGTAATCGATGTTTCACTCGGCCGTGTATACCCGGTTCGTGGGGCAGTCGATCTCTAACAGAAGCGTATTTCAGGGCAAGCCCCATGCTTTTTTCGAACAACCGGTTTCGTTCAATATTTAGGGCCCTGTAGGGAACATAAGATCATGTTTCGTTTTTCGCTGAACGCCGTTTTTAGCAGCAAAAAAAAAGGTCATGAGTCCCCGTTAATAGTCGTTACCACACCCGTGAAGACCTAAAATTTTGCATTTAGGTTGCACCCAACGAATGGCGTGCCGATCGCGGCCTACAGTAGTCAAAACATCGAGGTCATATGCATCACTCAGACTATTTGAAGCGCAACAACGTGGCCATCAACTATGATTTGCAAAATTAAGTCGCCGCCGGGAATCTGAATCCTTAAAGCAACAGTTCAGGAACGGTTTCGCGGGAAAAAACACCCAATAATGAAGTTGTAGATGAAAACCAGACGATTAATGTATGAAAAACTGGAAAAAAACGTCGGGGAGGGTCTTAGACAGGTACTCTCCCTCTGCCGCTCAGCAATGGATAAAGACGCACGTTGGACGAGTTGTCTGAACGTGCCCGCTGTAAACGCGCTCCATTTTTCAATCAATTTTCCCTGTGGTCCCAAAACGAGCACGATTGCCGACGCGTCCAATGACGGCCGGCAAGGGGGCGGGATTGGGGAAATCCCCAAGAACACCCATGTTTGAGGGACTTTCCACCCTGTTTTTGAGTTTCTGAGGTAAGTTCGTTTATTATTTCCACTGCATATGTTCTTCACTGAGGGCTCGTGTATCTATCTTCAGTAGCTCCGCTGTTATCCCTCAGTATTAGTGGCATTGAATCTTTCGGCACGCCTCCCTGAACTGTTCTTAAGTACATTCACCACCTTTCTTGATTAACTTCTAAACCGTTCAGCAAAAAACGAAACAGGTTCTCGTAGCATGTATGACGTCTCACAGTATGCAAGCGCCTTTCAAAAAAACGTGCTTACCTGAAAGACCTCTTTGTGGTGGTCATGCGTGCATACCCGCTGACGGGCAGCAAACTGGCTTCAGAAAGGTGCAATATTCGGAAAACTAATCGTCGAGTTCCACCTCACGCATGTCTATTTAGGACTACGCGCTGGAGATGTTCTATCGTGAATCATGGAGAGATGATCGACTTCAGTTCAACGTTTCACTTTTCAAAAATAAAACAGAATTAGCCTTACATGAGAGCTATACGAACTTTTCTATGGTTTCCGGATACATTCGTGCCGAACGCGATCGCGTCGAAAAAATCCGCAACGTAACAGCATATCGCATCGATCATTGCTCAGGTAAGGGATAAGCCGACGAGTAACCACGAATGCTATGGTGGTTTTTTGCTGTACAGATAGCCTTTCGAGCCATTTTTCCGTTTTTCGAATGCTGAAGTCAGTATTCAGGGAATCAGGGTAGGAAACTGGGGAAATACTCAGTTTCATATAGAATCGTGAACTCGTAAAAATTCCAGTGCGAAACTCTGGCCCTTCAGTGACTCGTCCTTGCGAAAACCCCTTAAGTTTTCTAATTCATGAACTTAGCAACCCCATCCCTCCCGCCGCCGTCGTCCTCACACACTTCAACCCTCACTAACTACGCCAACAATTCAAGATTTAACTTTAATTTCTCCGCGACATTGTCTCTTCAAAACCGAAACTTCCTTCCAGGTAGCTCTAAATCTACCTTATTTCCGAATAAAATATGACCGAAAGGTAGAGGGGACCGCAATTGTCTACCCAGGTTGGCTCGTCGAAGGCGGAGTAGTGTTGCAGCACTTGCTCTGCAAACCCTTCGAAGTCAGAACCAGTGCTTCATTCAATGCAAAATCTTCATATTCGTTTTTAGGAGCTCGGAAGTAATGACAGTTACCTGGTACAGGTCGTCGGATTCGCTGGTTGGTGAGTGCAGTAAGTTTTTTTTCTGCTCTTAGAAACATCATCAGTAAGGTACTATCATAATAAACGCACAGCTTCAGTCTCGCTTTGGAACGCGCCACGCATTCATTTGCTATACGAATACGTACCGGTCTAATACAATTATTGGACGCAGCCAACACTTCTTTTGTGCTTTTGCTTCCTTTTTCACCAGGTCGAGACGAACTACAATTCTCTGCGCGCCAAAAGATTCCAGTGACGCCGGAAACTGATATAATATTGGGGAAATGCGCGTATTAGGGAAGACTTTTGAAAGTTCGTTCAAATTTTTAGGTTACTAGTGTAGAGTGTATGTGATTTTGAGGCCTTCAGATGTTTGTCAATAGGGCAGAAAGCCGTTTTTGTCTCCGTTGAGATTTCAAGTAGACTCCCATCGACAATAATTAGCTAATTTCCTGAAAGGAATACAAAACCACAACTTGACTTAGCTCCAAAATATCGCCTTTCCCCCACAAGCCAGCCGTACAAAATAAACATCAAGTTCTTGCAAAATGCTGTTCATGCACTCAGTGATCGCCCTGCATCCCTGCACCACTTTGGTTTTTAAAATCCTCTCAGATTAGGGAGTTCATAAACTATCATCCTCAATGCCATCGCCACTCACTGAAGCGGATTCGGTATGGGGGAAGACCGTACCAGCTGCCAATTTGGATCGCCACGAAAAATCGCGAGTGTACTGCGAACCCGAGAGAATATCCAAAACCTTTGAATTACCTCGCATTTCTGTGAGCAAGTGTACTGTCCTCACCATTTCTGGCTTGTCACCCGTTACTGTACTGCTTGAGGCAGAGATCTACTAGCCTTGACGGCCGCCCTACTGCCTGAGGACGAGATTCACGATGAGGAAACGAATCGTCAAACACGGGGGAAATCACGTAAAAGGAGGCAGCAGGACCTCCTGAGGTTTGCTGACCGACCGCGCAATCAGCAATGGCTCACTATCTGACGTTTGCGAGGTACCCCACCGACAAATCGATGTCACTCGCTCAAAGGTCTACGTAACGAGTGATGCAGACAGCAGAGAGAGCGTCCCGTGTTGAAGAGGGCACATCGATGAGAGGTCAATTCTGCAGATCAACGGCATGGAAGTGGGACCCATTTGAAGGACCATTTCTTGGGGCTTTTGGGCCGTTTCCAACATGGTTTCTTCTTCATCTGCTCCACTGACTGCCTCTACTCTTATTTCCAATAAACCAACTTTTCAACGTAAATTCTTCCTTCAAGAACAGCTAAGCCACATTTTTCCCACTATTACTGTATCGATTTCAGCTATGGATTTGACGCTGTTCCCATTTGATAAACAGTTATGCAACTCGGCATTGAAAAGCTGAAGTATCAAGTAACTTAGCTTGATCAAGTAACTAAGCCCAGACTTCCATACGTCGAAATATCTTCCTCACGGAATTCGCTCTAACCGTAATGACACTTCCCAAGGACGGGTACACACCGGCTGATCAAGGCTGTTGCGCTACAAATGGTCGTCTGGCTCACGGCCAGCCGTTGAAACGCACAAAATCGACTGCCAATTTCACCATTAAAGGAAGCTACGACCAATCCAGATGAGGTCTACCGCTACTGGTAAATGGTTCAATACCTAGGTTAAACAATACGCATCGCGTACATTGGACCTTCAGGAAATACTGTAATTTGATGGCCGGAATGTTGCTAATATTTGCAAAAGAGCATCGCTGTCTACTTGGGTGGAGCAGGGCCTGTGGCTCACCAACAAAGGGGGTGTAACTTGGAATTTTTCGTTACGGTCGCTTATCGTTCTCTGTGTATGAGAGGGGGCTGAATACGACGAACTGCGTCTCAGCCTTGAGTTAGCTCGCAGATACTCTGACATATTACGTCGAGAAGCATTTGGCGCCCGTTTTTCTTACGGATCATCCAGAAAGCCTTGGTTTAGGCGAGCATCCGATTGATCGGTTCGCAAAGGATTTATGCTTTTTCGTTGGTTGTATACAAACCGTGAAGCAACTCTTTACAACGGCGTCGGTTTGCAAAAACAACCCCGTCTTGTATAAGCGTCGAGAACAACCCTGAATCACCCACACACTTTGGCTGATACGAAGTTTACCGTACACTGCGTCCCATAATTATACGTCCACCTAAGAATTTCCCAAAATCTCAGAAATACAGATGTTTCGAAAAAAGTCTCCTATGTGACAATGTATCGCATATAAATACGCAATTGCCTATGAACATCAATTTTCTATTTGAGATCACAGGAATTTTTCCCAATAATTTTTGTGTAAAAGGCCACTCAGCCGACGTCCCAAAATTATACGTCCACCTCACGTTTATCGATTACTTTTCACTTCTGTTCCACGAAACTTTTTCATTGTGGTAACACTTCACTTCTTAAGGGAACAGCATAATAAAGACTGCTGTTGGATTTTGAGAAAGGGAAAAATGTCGCAAAAACTGTTGAACAACGCAATCGCACCAGATTTGGTCCAGATTCACGCCAAGCTTGAGAATTTTTTCAGGGGTTTCACATGATATGGAGTTTAGAAGAGCTCTAAAAGTCTCTCATTACTTTTCGATGGAAACAAAGGCCGTGTTACAGAAAAACATCCACTTTCATCCAACGGTGCTCTGTCATCGAATCTTCTTGAGAACTTTATGCCTCAACGGACTTTTGTTTCATGCATGTAAAGGAATCCCAAGATCATTCTTGATCGGAAAATGTGAAAGACGTTTATTTGTGGCAAGGAATCGTGACGAAAACTGGGCTGATTTTTGCATGAAGGTGCAGCCGAGCCGACTGGAGCAGGGTTTTCTCCTTGCTATGCATGAGTGTTTGTCTCTCTTTTTTTCAACATTTTCTTTCTTTTAGTAGTGCTTCACTAAGAAAAAAGCCATTAAGGGAAAGGTAAACGTGAGAAGAGAAACAAACAAATGCCAAAACATATCGGGCAGAAGCGAACCTTACTTCAGTCGGCTCGGCTGCACCTTCATGCAAAAATCAGCCCAGTTTTCGCCACGATTCCTTGCCACAAATGAACGTCTTTCACATTTTCCGAATCAAGAATGATCTTGGGATTCCTTTACATGCATGAAACAAAAGTCCGTTGAGGCATAAAGTTCTCAAGAAGATTCGATGACAGAGCACCGTTGGATGAAAGTGGATGTTTTTCTGTAACACGGCCTTTGTTTCCATCGAAAAGTAATGAGAGACTTTTAGAGCTCTTCTAAACTCCATATCATGTGAAACCTCTGAAAAATTTCTCAAGCTTGGCGTGAATCTGGACCAAATCTGGTGCGATTGCGTTGTTCAACAGTTTTTGCGACATTTTCCCTTTCTCAAAATCCAACAGCAGTCTTTATTATGCTGTTCTCTTAAGAAGTGAAGTGTTACCACAATGAAAAAGTTTCGTGGAACAGAAGTGAAAAGTAATCGATAAACGTGAGGTGGACGTATAATTTTGGGACGTCGGCTGAGTGGCCTTTTACACAAAAATTATTGGGAAAAATTCCTGTGATCTCAAATAGAAAATTGATGTTCATAGGCAATTGCGTATTTATATGCGATACATTGTGACGTAGGAGACTTTTTTCGAAACATCTATATCTGTGAGATTTTGGGAAATTCTTAGGTGGACGTATAATTATGGGACGCAGTGTATTAAAGGGATGCACTACGACGAAGCTCCCTAGAGCTAGTCCACAGTCAACAGCAACTGCTAGGTATTTAACGAACCCTTTGTATCCCGCGTCGCGCCCCCACTTCTCTGTCCACAACCCTGAAAAAGCTGTGGCGGAGTGGTGTACATAAAGTAGTCGCGATAGGCTGACAGACTTCAAACGACTGTCGGTAGGGTTTAAACGGTAGGAGGGTGTTTGCTCTGCCCTGGCGGGAACTCAGGCTACCTAACTTATTCCTGATTCAGGAAACTACTCTCGTCTCTACGTGTGCTTCGTGTTCTCTCGTTCGTCCGGCTTTTGTTTCCTACAATTAATCATCCCCTCAACCGCAGGTCGTCATCACGTCATGGGTCTCACTATGGATGGAAAGCGAAACCGAATTCCAAGTAAGTTATTCTCCAAGTTTTACTCAAAAACTCCGCTACTAACCTTAAACAAAACAAAGTGTCCTTGGCGCTTGAAAAATTACCACAGCTTTTCTTGTATTGCTAAGCGACACGGCAAATAAAACCTTCTTTTTGCAGTCCGTGGTGCCGGGAATTGGCCGTGAGTTCTTGGGTTGAGAGTTGGCAGCTGGCTGCGTGGCGATCGTGTAACCTGGGGATATCCAGCACTTGCGAACAATGATCAACTACAGATTCTTGTCAGCACGCGACGCAGCCAGAGGCCAGCCCTCAGCAACTGCGCAGAGACGGGCAGTTTGTGATTTAACTTTTGATTTATGACGTCATTAGCCCTGTGATGCAGAATGGGTTACGTATTATCAATATTGCGGGCGGACCTCTCGTATAACTGGCGAAGTAGCTGCCACGCCCTACCGCGTGACGTGCACAGGGTCAAAATCGGTGTAGAATAATTACCAGTGCTGATCAAACGCCCCATCCATACAGGCCGTGTAATAGGAGTACCGGAGCCATGGAAGGGCCAGAAACCTACTCAATAACGCAGGCAGCAACCCTAACTCACTACTATCGGCTGGCCACTGCAATTATTTTATGGTCAATCTGTCCAAGATGCCGCTGAGGTACTCATTAGAACTATTCCGAATGCCATGGCGACATCAAAAATGAATGATCAACACGCGACACCTCCTTCTTCTTTATCGATATTAGCTAGTATGCGTGACGCTCGGCGTTTACCAATTCTAGCGTACGCCACGTAGATGACTTTTTTTCTAAATCAAGGTCAAATCAGGTACACAAGAACTTGAGAACAAGCGTTACACACGTTGATCCCCCAGATTCAGACCATACTAACTTTGACTAGGCGACTAGCACGCAGGGGGTCTCCAGGGGGTGCCCAGGTTTTTCGAAACGGCGTTTTGCATGATAGGGGGGCTCGTGCCTGGAGCACAGAACTGTGGTTCATTTTCTCCTGAGCGACCCTCCTAATACCGAAAAAGTAGCGGAAAAAAATTTTTTTTTCCCTAGGGTTAAAAAAGCCTTGGCCGTTCCTTACATTTCTCACCAAGTTTTTGTTCAGCAAGGTACGTATACAGGTTGCTGACAGCAGTAACTAATAAAAACATGTTAACATAAGTTGTTTAGCGCCGTACGCTGGTTCGTCGCCGAATTTGACGTCCAACATGAAAGATAAATTTGTCAACTGTAGGACTCGAACCGCGGACGCACATCAAACACCTTGTCTAGTGCTGAGCGCTCGAAAATGAACTACATTTCTGCGTGTTCCATGCACGTACTTCTAATTCATGCAAAATAGCCGTTTCGAAAGACATGCTTGGCGGTTCCTGAAAGACCTTTCCTTCTGAGTTCAAAGGAGACTGCGACATTGAGCAGCTTGAAACCCCATAGCGCTCCAACTCATATCATCAGCTTTTCTCCAGGGAATTAGCGGACGCACCATACCGCCGTATCTGTTTTTGATGTATAGAACAAGAGTCCAACCTGAAGTAGGAATCTACCTGGGAATGTAGACGACCACGCAGCCTCTCCCGTTTTGTTTTAGAATCTGCTGGGATCTACCCATAGGCTACGACGTTCTACCGGTAGACTACCGTACACTACTCAGTAAATGAAGGATAATGGAAAGAAGGGAATCAGCATTTGGCGAAATCAAAACTTTTGCTACGGCGGTTACGAGATGAAAGGCAGGCGGTTCTAATAAAAGCGCTACCTGAGCTCACATTGAGCGCAAGAATCGAATTTCTCAAAAACAGCAACGGAAGGGGTGACTTTGGGGGGCAATAGGAAGCGGGGGCAACGCTTGGCTACTAGCAGTATTAAAAGTGGAAACAACAAAGCAGAAAACGGAGACCCCTGCTCACTGAGGGCTATAAATTACAGTCGATATCCGAAAGTTGGGGTAGGTGTGGCACCGGAATTGACGTGTACTTGATAGAAGTTGCGTGGATGAGCTGTTTCCAGCATGCTTTGCTGATATCCAGCGATGTATGCTGGCAACAGCTTATCCACGCAACTTCTATCAAGTACACGTCACATCCGGTGCCACACCTACCCCAACTATCGGTTCGAGTATATATACAAAATGATATCAAACGTGGAAAGGTAATTAGGAGCCTTAAGTAGCTTGATTCATGAAGGGCACAGGTAAGTGTTCTATTCCTGCTCACGGTCAAACTGGGTCTTTATAGGTAATAATTACAATAGATTTTAGCTGGTTTTAGAGTGGAGGAGGAAAGCTAAGTAGTACGCCATAGAGAGAAAAAGCAGAGCATTTTGTCTGGAGCACGCAAAAGGGGTCCACTTCACTTTCGACACATCTAGCCAGTAACCATGATAGAGCTTGCTGGCAGTGTTGACCCCTACAGCGTCATGCCCCCATGCCAAAAACAGGTTCATGTTGAAACGCAATATACTGAAGAAACTAGCAGATGCAACTATGAAGGAAATGCTCTCTCCTAGTGAATAGCGATACCGTCTGTTACACATAAAAAGCGCTGGGGGCGGAGCGAACTTGGGCGTTACGGTTTCTAAGTTTGGAGCACTACTGAGCTAAAATTGGCTCACTGTCCTGCGCGAAAGTGCCATACACATCGAGTCCGTTGCGGCTGGCTACTACTTTACTAAGATTTATACTTCCCAGATGCGCACCCTTTATCACTATTTTATCTTTACATTTAATATCGTTGAAGACAACATTAGAACGTTACGCTCTACACCGCTCCTATTATGAGGTTTATCTATTTTATTTTATTTATTTTATTTATATATTACAGGACATGATATCGATTATTTTGGCCATTACATTTCCTGATCTTCTCCTACAACGAAATGATGCCCGAGTCAGCTATATCAAGGCTATGGATATTTATCTTGGTTTGTCCTTGGTCTCTTTGGCTAACAGCTAACCCAAAGTGGTTTCCATTGATTATTTCAGGAGTATGCTTTATGATCGTTTTTCTCTCGTTGATAAAGCTTGCTTTTGTCAAGTATATGCGGCAAAGGATGAAAATGGAAAGGTAAGCAACCTCCGATAATCAAGCACTGATAATACCTAACAAAGCTCTTGTTCCTTCATTAATGGCTGGTTCTTTTTGAGTGACTATTTTTTTGATCAGGGGCAGCGAGAAATTGGTGCCGCTTCCTCCGTAAACGGGCCCAACAAGTCGCAATCAGAGGAATTGTCCACTCCCCAACCAAGCCTTTCATTTCCCGGAGTAATGACCAAACCGTCGAGCCGGAACTCGCTGTGGAGGAGAACGGGCTGAGTTGCGCATCGACTGACTTAGACGAGCCGTAGTACAGGCAGAATCCCATTCAACTACCGCTACTCCAAAAGTCCAAAACGCGCATCTTCCGCCGGCCGGTTTTCACGAGATGAGCGATTAGAGACAAGCCTTGCTATAATTTGAATTGTTCATGCTCTTCTCCGATTTTGCAGTTTTTTTGACGCGACGCGGTCAAATAATCCCGAACTATACAAGCGATGAAGCCCAGTCCTGAACTCCGACCCTAATCCTGGGAACTTCGGGCATGCAGATCTGATCACAGAACGCCAATCGAGATCGGCACCTCAGTTTTTTACACGTTCGATTCCTGACTGAGGCAATGTGCTTTGCCCTTGCTATGACGGCTACCACTGATGTGAATAGAAGAAAAAATTCATAGGCAGCTCAATTCGGGATGCGCCGCGATTCCATCCATTCAGGCTGCAAAGGACTACTTGAAAGCTATTGGTATGCCATATAGCGAGTTCAACGAAAATTATTGACGAAACGATTAAAAAAATTTGAACGAAAACAAGCCAAAGATGTTCCGGAGTAGGATGTCAATCCTACGTTGTTACTACATAACAACGGGGGCTACCTGTTGAGTTTATAGGGGATCGTATCCCTCATCGCGTGAAATTTACATGTGAGTTTGTGTGAAAAAGTAACACGATAGGACCGAGCCCGTTCGCGCGAGCAACAGTCACCATCTTTTGAATGAATGCTCTGCCCATTGCTTGAACATTCGGACGAATCGCACGTCGGGAGCAAAATCACGAACTATCTCATGCCACATCGTCGTAATTTGGATCGTTTCCAGTTTTCAAGAGCAACTGTTGAAGTGTAAAGTATGTAGGACAATGGTCCGGAAAACGCTCGTTTTAACACGACCTGAACATCTTTCAAAACCCGGCTCTGCTGATTGTTCCCTCGCAAAGATTCGTTGAAGATCGCAAAATTAACTCTACCCGCTCCCTCCAAACTTTGAGAGTGGAGAGCTCTCTTCTTCTTCTCCTAGCGTTAGTCCCGCGCAGTCGCAGGGTCCGCTGTCTTTGTCAGTCGTCGCCACTTCGCTCTGTCTAGGGCATCTCCTGCAGTGGGCCGTGATTTCACTTAGGTCCTTCTTGATCACATCCTTCCACCTCTTCTTTGGGGCTCCTCGCGGTCGCTTGCCTTGCACTTCGAAGTCCATCGCATTCCTTATCGGGTGGCCTTGCGGTCTTCTCAGCACATGTCCATACCACCGCAGTCGTTGCTCCCTCACCTTCAGCTGGACAGGGGCAGTCTGCATGACCGCTCTGACATCCTCGTTCCTGACCCTGTCCAGTCGCGTCCAGCCGCAGGCCCACCTCAGCATCCTCATCTCAGCGGAGTGAAGCTGCCTTTCGTGATTCTTGTTCAGGGGCCAGCACTCGCTGCCGTAGAGCATCGCAGGCCTTACCACTGTTCGGTACACCTTCCCTTTGAGCGCTCTGGAGCACCTTCGATCGCAGAGGATTCCAGTGGACTCCCTCCATTTCATCCATGCCGCGTTGATCCTCCCCTTTACTGCCTGGTCCACACTGCCCGTCGGCCGAGTGTAGAGCTATCGTGGTGAATATGAGATTATTTTGAGAGCACTTCTATTATGAAGACGAAGAATATTCGAAAAAATAATAACAAAATGTCAACCTTTCCAAAAAACGTAATGAGCGAGAAAATCCGCAATCTAGCATCGACCTAATATTTACTTCACAATGTAGGAACCAAATACAATACATATACAACATATAACCAATACCCCGTAAGGATCCAGCGCAAAATACACAGTCAGTGTGTCTCACCTTCCACAACAAGTCTGGTAACAATTCTAAAAGAGTTGATCTACAGAGCACGCTCCAAGATTCAAACCACTAACCGTGTGCGTCGAAAACACCGCCACTTGTTATTACTCTATTTCCACCGCTATCATTAAAACCACGAACCGTGCGCGTCGAAAACAGCGCCACTTGTCATTACTCCATTTCCACCGCTATCATTAAACCGTTTTCCACTTCATTCAATTCTAGTGAGAGCTTTCATTCGATCAGTGCTGCTATGGTGACCAACAATCGACCAGTGAATGGCGTCATTCCCACAAAACCTGGCTCGAATCTAGTGCTCCGTAATGGAAGGTAAGGGAAGTTTGCTCCGGAGATATGCTTCACAAGTAAACTGCACTCACTTTTGAACTTTGAATTATTTGAATTTTTAACAAATAAGCTAGAACAAATTCAACTGAGGCGAAATTACGTATTGGTGCGCGACTTTCGAGAAGTGCTGTCCTGGCCGTTGCGGTCGGAACTTTTGAACTAGTCGTAATTTATTTTTTTAGGAGCGAATATGTAACGGTGCCGGTAGCAGATATGGATGACTCCTTTGTGGCTGAGGCTCAGAAGCAACGATTCGGTAACTTTTTTAGAACTTTTGTTGGGTAAACTATGCATCTATACATCTCGCTTCCTCTCGCATCTCACTCGCACTTTCTCGTTACAGTCGACCGCGTCTGACTTTTGTAGCTAATTGACCCACATGAGTCGTTGTTCAAAAATGTTTAAGCTAGAAGCTTTCTAATCTAGTTCTTCCAAATCGATTACTGTGGTGCCAGCTTCCATGTAGCTCGTTTAAAAAACCTAGTTTAGGTGAAAAAGTGCTCAAACTCATGGACTTTCGCTTTACGCCGAAAACCATGCACCGATTCCAGTGGATATCTCAGGTACGCCCTCAAATCTAGTAAAATTTTTGCAAAACTCGAATAGCTACTTCATAAGAAAGAGATCGGCTGAAAGGCGCTGATTTTCGGAGATTTGAAGTGATACAAGACAACCAATCCTTTCATCGTTTTGGGTTATAGCACTGGAACATCGTGAGCGCGATTCTCTTTCCTTCCCTAGTTGACTCAGTTATCATCGAACTTCTACGGGAGGGAAGAAATAAAAGGTAGATGGCATGATAACTTGTGTTTTGAAGAAGAGGAAAAATAGTCCATTATAAAGAAATTTTGTGCCCCAGAAAGCAGAACATGGCACTTCTCGAGCGAAGAGCTCGCCTGGAGCGGCGTGGCAAGGCTTTGCCCGTCCTTTCGAAGCATTGTTCCTCCGCCCGTTCACCGTCACTTGCCGTCGGCTTTCAGTCGTTCTACTGAAGAGGTGGAGCAAGTAGTCACGCTGATGACCTCAGTAGCGATGTGCCTCCCCCAAAGCGGAAACTAATTGGAAAACAAGGGACCTGTAGGTTTAGAACGTTTCCCTTTTTCTTCACCACGAATTAATGGTAAGCCAAATACAGTTCGAAGCCTTAAAGATTCCGGACTGAAAATTAATGTGCGACTCTTCCAATAGAGTTTGATCTCTACCGATCTCCTTATTCGACTCCTACGTAGAGTTTTTTGATTGCCACGGATAATTCTTAATAATATTTCAGATGCTGTTCTTCTTTGGCTTCGTCATCTTCTGCTTATTCTATTTCCTTGTCTATCCGAATCTCCACATCGTCAGCATCGATCCGACTTGCGATAAGGCTAAAGCGGAATGGTTTGCTGAGATCATCTGAAGCTCCAAGTGTCCTGAAAATATCACGCATCTTCATGGACCACTTTCTCCAAAATTAATAATCGATCAATTGCGGGTCAATTCGAAGGCCTCGGTATTTCATGGTAGCCCAACGAGGCCTTACAGCTCTGTCAGCGGACTACAGGATACCGGCGGCTCTGTTAACCTAAGTGTTTGAACTTACCCTTTGAAGCGTTGTCTCATAATTACTGCACCAATCAATAATTGACAGTACTTGCTAGACGTGCAGAATGTCGATGGATATGGGCTTCACATTTTGAGACGAGCTTTCGGAAGATAATTGGAAAATGAAACAAAGAAAATAAGAGATGACGCGAATGTTGAAAATTGTTTATTTTCCGTCGCTGTAATTATTGTTGCACATTCATCAAATAATGGTCCTGTGATATTTTGCTATTCTTTCCGTTGTACAGAATGATTCGTGCCATCATTGAAGGCAAATACTGAACTCCCTCTAGCAGAGCTTAGTAGCGCGGTCAGATCATGGAAGAAAGGGAACAAGATTCCTTGACTAAGAGCCCGTAGCCGATTAAGCCTTTGAGACCTGGACGGTGTGCAGTAAGCCCCGGCCGGATGATGGGTCCCCGTAACTTCGTCTGTACTCCAGTCGATGAACAGTCCTCGTATTAGGAACGGGGGATCGTCTAGAAGGCAGACTTTCGGAACCTATTTCCTGGTCTGGCGCGGCCGCGGCTGCTACCATGTCCCAGAAGACTCCGAGGTAGGCGTAGCTTTCACAACACGTCAAGCAATTTCGAAGTCCGCCATGATGGTCTGAGTTGGGAACAGTCCATAAGTCCACTTACGCGGCGAGTTGGCCGCATTGTTGCGAGGAAAGATTGAACGATTGTGCCATGGGTCCTTCATTTTCGGCCTTTCCTATGACGCGATCATTCAGAACAGACAGTGTTATATAACCCATCGCCTAACCGCTACGGCGACTCGGTCACCTCGCTCCTGCCCTTCGCAGCTGCGCCCGGTCATTTCGACCTGTCGGAAGGAGGAAGACTGTGAACAACTTGATGTCGAATTGTACTCAGAGGAAATGACAACTACCCTCTATTTCGGAAACGAGAAGAGCGTCGAGTGCAGACCACACACCACAAGTGACGACGGCCAAGAAAAAGTGGCTTTTTTTCTTTTTTGGCCGTCGTAACTTGTGGTGTGTGGTCTGCACTCGACGCTCTTCTCGTTTTCCGAATAGAGGGTATGTGCAACGCTACATTCTTATGGAATTTAATTCCCTCTATTGTTAATTCTCAATTCGGGGAATTATAAACGTTCCCATCTCAGCCAGATTTACTACTTTCGCTAACTTTGGCTTGCATTTGCAGTCCACGAAATGTAGTGTGCAGCGATCGCCCCCATCGCGCACTGCGGGCGACAAAACTGCGCGAGGTATGGTTGTTCAGGACTTGTCGCGCAAATTTGTCACTGGTCTGTCGAGCTGCAATTTGGCCCCTACATATATCCCAGAACGAGATATGGATGTAATAATACCAATGATGTTGCAGTAAACGCTCCCGGTGACTTCGATTACGAGTTCAAGTGCTCCCGTACCAAAGCACGGGCGCACGCATACTAATCGTATTTCATGGTGGTGCATAATTTTCTATAAAAATTTATTTTTTGTCGCATATTTTGATTGCACATCAATAAAATATTTGTTCAATTGTTGACCTTCCTAGAGAGCTTCAGATTTTTAGAACCGTAACACAGAGCAAAGTGGAGAAACACTTCACATAAATTATGGCCCCATGGTTCTTATAATGTAACTGGTGACTGTAGAAAATGTTCATTGCTTATAAAAATATCCGCAAATGTCAAGCACAGCTTTGAGCAAAGATAAATCAATATGAGATCCGACCAACTTCCGAGAAAGGAGGCTCAGGGTATACATATGTAATCCGCATTGATCCCGAGAGCAGTTCGCAGTGTCCAATGCAAATCCTGTAGTCGATCACCGTTATCTCGCAAATATCGATGGATCTGAAAGTTGCGGTGGACTAGCGCCTTGCAAAACTTATTAATACGTATCTTACGGGGAGGTCTTTCAGGGCAAGCCACGCTTTTACAGAAAGGTTTCTTGCATATTGTAGGGGCGCATGTAGGGGTCACG